ATTCCGTATACAGCATTTCGTATGCCAGGCTGGACATGAAATTAAAACGCACCCCAAACCCATCTGTATGGGCAGAAGGTGTAGTTGGCAGTTCAGTATGAAACAATAATATTATGCATAAGAACGAGCTTCACATGAAAAGGTACGAAATTATTTCACGTAACAAATATTCTTGATTTACAGTATCTGGCACTAAAGAAAAGTAGTCGTGCAGATTGGCTGTAATCAGGAAGATGCTTGACCAGGCCTTAGCTGTACGTGCAGAGAGAGAGAGAGAGAGAGAGAGAGAGAGAGAGAGAGAGAGAGAGAGAGAGAGAGAGAGAGAGAGAGAGAGAGAGAGAGAGAGAGAGAGAGAGAGAGAGAGAGAGAGAGAGAGAGAGAGAGAGAGAGAGAGAGAGAGAGAGAGAGAGAGAGAGAGAGAGAGAGAGAGAGAGAGAGAGAGAGAGAGAGAGAGAGAGAGAGAGAGAGAGAGAGAGAGAGAGAGAGAGAGAGAGAGAGAGAGAGAGAGAGAGAGAGAGAGAGAGAGAGAGAGAGAGAGAGAGAGAGAGAGAGAGAGAGAGAGAGAGAGAGAGAGAGAGAGAGGAAGTACAGTGTGTACGCACATGTAGAGAGGAGAAATGCAGCGTGCATGCACGTGTACTTACAGCTCCATGACATGTTGTACCAAATGTTTCCTGCATGCCCTGCTCCGTGCCTGTAAGCACATAACTGCAGAACACACGCGAAAAACACACGTACACGTACACACACACATTAAATTGTTTTTAGAGGCAGGCATGACACACTGACACACACACACACACACACACACACACACACACACACACACACCTGTAAGCACATAACTGCAGAACACACGCAAAAAAACACACGTACATGTACACACACACATTAAATTGTTTTTAGAGGCAGGCATGACACACTGACACACACACACACACACACACACACACACACACACACACACACACACACACACACACACATGCACGAGAATAAACACAGAGACACATACACATGTACACGCAGTGAACACTCCAGTATCATCCAGCGATGCATGTCAATATTCCCTAGAACAATCAACTCCACCAGCAAGCACCGGCACAAGACACAGACACAGGTAGGTACAAGTAGCAAGTTGCCATATCCCTTCGCTAATGACTCCTGCCCTCTAAACACAGGTAGTATATCATTGGAGCCATCTCGAGCTCTGCCTACTGCATGGGTAGTGAGCACAATACAGAGCTACGCCAACTGGCATTGACAGTCTTGGACAAAAGCCACGGCCAGCATCTACCTGTGAGCAATGTATGCTAGTCTACTGGCCATCCGGGCCATAGCTAGAGCAGTGGTATTAATCGAAGAGACCGCTGCTACGGCTGCAGATACTCAGTATCACATTGTAAGGGACACAACATATGGCACGAGCATCACGCAGCATACTAGATATGGTCACAAACCTGCAGGTTCCCATAGTTCCACCAATCAGCACTGGCTGACCAGTAAGCTGCAAGAAAAAGAGGAAACACATCGACACAAACACATGAGCAGATACAGTTCAATAATGCAAATACCCACTGAAAAGACAACAAAAAAACACACCGCAAGAGCACCATACAAGCCCGTGCTTGTGGTGCCAAGCATGGCTTAAATCCATCATTACTCACACACTGAACCAATAGTTCACAGAAATTGAGAATACCACCCCGAAGATGGTTAGTCCTCTTTCTACACTTCATGCATGAAACCAACAAAACAATGGCGGTCAGGTCTACTCTATCTACAAGACTAGTAGTCACTGAGGAAAGTACACAAAGAGAAGTTAGCAAGAGCAAACTCTAAAACAGGAATTACTCAGATGGGCTGAGAGCTCAAACACTGTTAGCCGACGTACCTGATAATCAACCGGGATCAGCGGATGGTGAGGTGGGAAAGCTCGCGTCGATCCCTTACGATGGACGAGCAGTTGTTTCTGTTTGCCATCTATGTAGTGCTCTTCGACTTTGGCAATATTGTGCGACACATCATAGATCACCTTAATCAGGAATAGCACAGCAGTACACAATGGCTTTCAAAGTTCCTGCAAAGCGGTGGCAGATATGTATACCCAAGAACCAACCGTCTATTCACAAAAGCATAGCAAACGCATGCTTGCAAGCAAGCAGTTAGCACAGGTGTGTGCACACACCATTCGACACCCATCGCCGGAGGCGATGATAGCGATGCCACAGCAGAAGCCATAGCAGCTTGTGCTGGGATTGCACCATTCAACAGCTTGCAAGGCTGAAGAATGTGACCGCCACTATTCAGCCTGGTCTACACCACACAACTATGAAGTGGCTTTTTCTGATTCACACACACACCATTGGACCATTGGACGCCCATCGCCGGAGGCGATGATAGCGATGCTACAGCAGAAGCCATAGCAGCTTGTGCTGGGATTGCACCATTCAACAGCTTGCAAGGCTGAAGAATTGACCGCCACTATTCAGCCTGGTCTACACCACACAGCTATGAAGTGGCTTTTTCTGGCCAGTGAATCACACACACACACACACACACACACACCCACACCCACACCCACACCCACACACACACGAACACACACACACACACGAACACACCCACACACACACAAACACACGTACACATTGGACACCCAGCACTGACCTGCATATCCAAGTCATCGGGTGTCGACTGGAATGTCTTGGCAAATGCCTGACGTGCAAGGAATGTCATGGATGAGCGGTTCACCCAGGCGTAGTTAGCTGCGGCAGCCATGCCCTGGAGATAGTCCTGACCTTCAACAGAGCTGATACGAGCACAGGCGAGCTGGGAAACAACAGCACATGCACAGGAGCACAGAGACATGTTTGACTGGAGAAGATATGTTTGACTGGGGAAGACATGCTTGACTGGGGAAGACATGTTTTGACTGGGCAAGATATGTTTGACTGGGGAAGACATGTTTGACTGGAGAAGACATGTTTGGCTGGAGAAGACATGTTTTGACTGGGGAAGATATGTTTGACTGGAGAAGACATGTTTGACTGGGGAAGATATGTTTGACTGGAGAAGACATGTTTTGACTGGGGAAGATATGTTTGACTTGGGAAGACATGTTTGACTGGAGAACACATGTTTGACTGGAGAACACATGTTTGACTGGGGAAGATATGTTTGACTGGGGCAGTGTTGTGTACATAGTACACATTACCACAATGACGTGAAACATGAGTTATGAACAGCACCAACAGCGATATAAAGTTCCTACACACAAGCACATCATACAGTAGGTACATACATGTATATCAATCTCAGTCACATACCTGTCGATCGTTCACAATTATGTTATCACGCTTCATGGCACGTTCCATGGATACCAGCGCATCTGAACATCATTGAAAGAGAGAGAGGGAGAGAGAGAGAGAGAGAGAGAGAGAGAGAGAGAGAGAGAGAGAGAGAGTTACATTTATAAAGACAGGTAAGTCTAACAAATAAGGACTGAGACCTCTACAACAGGGTTTTTACGCCTGAAAGCAGGTGCATGATTTAACAAGCAGGTTGTCAGTCTAGATTTTAGGCGCAGATGGAGAAAATACGCAGAAATTTTGTGATGAGATGAACGCAGAAATAGTAGGAAATAATAAGCAAAGACGAAACGAAAGCCTGCCTCACAACCCCGCCTAGCCTTGCGAACTGGGAACGGTGGATTAAGAACCCAGGTTCAACGCTACTTCTGCCGCGCTCCAGAATCCTCACCCTAACCGCGTCATGAATGACCACCAAACCTACTCACAGTACAGTGTACTCAAAGAACTTTATTGAAAATCCAAGATGATCCGGAGAGGAATAAGCGTAGTGGCAGCAGCAGAAACAGTAATTTGAGAAATATCCATGGATGTGAACACTAGACCATGCCTATACTGAACAGGCTCTTATTAGGTTACCAAGCCAACAGGAAATGCAGACCGCAATAGTACAGTGTGGCTAGGTAGTGTAGTCCTAGAACAACCGTACATGACATTGTACTCTTACCTGTAGCTACTTGATGTCCAAGACCACGACTGCCACTGTGTATCATTACGCACACCTGTCAATAGCCAGCACACAAACAAACACACACATGATGGTATTGTGCTGTGGTGCACCCTGGCTTTCCAGTTTTCACATACACAACAATAACATAATACGTAGAGTTCAAGGCTTTTCTGCACGGTAAGACAACACTACCCCCCCCCCCCCCCCCCCACACACACACACCACATCCCCCCCCCCCCCCCCCCCCACACCACATCCCCCCCCCCCCCCCACACACACACACACCACATCCCCCCCCCCCCCCACACACACACCACATCCCCCCCCCCCCCCCCCCCCACACCACATCCCCCCCCCCACACACACACCACATCCCCCCCCCACACACACACCACATCCCCCCCCCCCCCCCCACACACACACAAACACACACACCACATCCCCCCCCCCCCCCCCCCACACACACACACACACCACCACCACAACATGGTAACGCCCATACTTGTCCGGTGTGGTCCACGCCCATCTTGCGAGCTGCGTGCTGATCATAGATCTTGTCGACGACTTGGATTTCAGCATAGTGATTGCCAGCCCCCAGTGTTCCAAGCTGCACACACACAACACACGGTGAGCAAAGGTTCAAATATCACCTCAATGCGATCATGGAAAGATTGCTGAGTTGCACTTGTATGCTAGACATAATCATCTTCTACGCCCTCAGCAGCAGCAGCAGCAGCATCGGCAGCAGCGGCATCGGCAGCAGCAGCATCGGCAGCAGCAGCATCGGCAGCAGAAGCAGTGGCAGAAGCAGCATCGGCGGCGGCAGCAGCAGGATGACGTATTTGTCAATTACTCAACATCCCTCAGAGAAATTCATAACTACTGTCTCTTGAGTGAAGTTGTACCCTGTAGCACTTGCTCTCGGAGCGTTAAAGGGGAAGTATACCCTAAAATCAAATGTTCACGTTGTAGTCTTCGGGGTGCTGAGTCGAATGGTCTTGGTCCGAGGAAGCTGAGACGCTCCCTTCCTCCTTTATTCCCAATCGAACTCGCGCACTTCCACCGGAACTGGGTGACTGCGCCCTACTAGATAGGGATTTGTATGGAAAAAGTCACTAAAAACGCCGTTTCGTTCTTATAAAAGCGCGGATGACCGCAATTGGTCCATATGTTGTAGTCTTTTGGCCGCTGAGTCGACTGGTTTTGGTCCGAAAAGGCTGCAATGCAGCATTCAGCCCTTATTCCCAATCGAACACGGTTGAGTAAGCGGTCACGTGCTCATTTACAGCCTGTTTGGGCCCGTTTATGTCACTCGAGTTGAACCTTTGAACCAGGGAGTCGTAAAAGCCTCTTACGACTCCCTGCTTTGAACCTTTGAGTTGAATCTTGATGTGAAAATTGTACTCTGCAAGCACGGTGACCAGGCGACTGGTGTACGCCTGAGCACGTGACCGCTCACTCAACCGTGTTCGATTGGGAATAAGGGCTGAACGCTGCATCGCAGCCTTTTCGGACCAAAACCAGTCAACTCAGCGGCCACAAGACTACAACATATGGCCCAATCGCGGCCATCCGTGCTTTTATAAGAACGAAACGGCATTTTTAGTGACTTTTTCCATACAAATCCCTATCTAGTAGGGCGCAGTCACCCAGTTTCGGTGGAAGTGCGCGAGTTCGATTGGGAATAAAGGAGGAAGGGAGCATCTCAGCTTCCTCGGACCAAGACCATTCGACTCAGCACCCCGAAGACTACAACTGGTGAAAATTTGATTTTAGGGTATACTTCCCCTTTAACAGCCAGTGCAAACGATTACGTGGTCAGAGTGACCGACCAATGACCCCCGCCCCATGCCTGAATGACTCCCCATGCCTGATCACCGGGGTACGTGTATGTAGGACAATGTGACCAGACACAAGCTGCTTGTCGCCGCCGCCACCACTGTCAACCTGACCTTGGAGAAAGTAGTGAGAGTGTGCAGAGTGGAGGCTGCTGCTACTGGGACATGCAGTCATACTCCCAGGCCCAGCACTGGCTCAGTGAACACCGCACACAACACCGGCAACCAGCGGTGAAAAAGCAAGGCTGACAAACCGCCACGGGGCGACACAGCAGTAGTGTAAAGAGCAAGGTGTCAGCAATGGCTGGTATTCTCAAACCGACACAGAGCACTGTCATCATCATAGTATAGCACTGCCATTCAACATCCATCAAAACCTGAACAGAGGAATTAAATATTGCCATCTTCTAAGGGGGGGGGGGGGGGGATTCCCCATAAATAGAACACCTACAATATACATGAGAAAAGCCAGTATGTCAGTGTTGGCAGTACTATAATATATCAATATGCTGTGGCTTACCTGGGGTAGACCACGCTTCTTGGCACGGCTGCTGACTTTGTTGGGATTGGCCTGCAGCATGCGACCATACTCTTCGCAATGCTCTTTGTCTTCAGCCCAAGCATAGCCTGCAGAGCAAACAGGACAGCACGCATGCGCGCACACCCACCCACACGCACGCACGCACGCACACACACACAACAGCCCACACACACATGATGATGCACACTGCGTGTACTTGTGCATCCTGGCAGCTGTAACACACGCATTTCAGGCTGAACTTAGAGCTGGAAAACCTCAACCAGCCGTAATGAGCTAACCATACTACCAGGCACCTGTGATCACACTACACCACTGTGTCTCTACATGCACACACTACTGAACATGGGGAAAATACAGTCCACAAGTGAATGGATTTACATGTACTGGTAGTGTGGATCAGGGTATACATAAGCCTCTTTTACGGGCAAAAATTAACACAATGGATTAAAAATGCAATAAAACATACACAAGTGAATGGATTTCATTGAACACACAAACTTTAACTAGCCGTCAGTGAAAGCAAACCAAAACGAAACCAGCAGCCACAACGGCTAGTCACCATGCACGCACACACACACACTCGCGCGCGCACACACACACACACACACGCGCGCGCGCGCTCCGTGGTAAAATTCCAACCTTCTCGCAGCGACCAGTCCATTCCCATCTCCAGTGCCTCTTCAAGGTTTCTGAAAGGCAATAGAACCAATTCAGGCAGCAACAAGCCAACATATTCTGGATGCTGTAACACTGTATGGAACTACAAATGCTTAGTCCCAGAGACACACCGCGTGCCATTTTATGATAACTTTGGTTTCCCTTGGGTAAAATTGGTAATCTTGGGCTTCTTGGAAAGCTTCAGCCATGATGAGTTCTCTTAGTGACCTTTTCTAGCCTCTTGCAATAGAAACAAAAATCCATCCACAGCTCCATTTTTTTAGAGAAGCACAGCTTATCAATGTGTGTGCTGTTTGTGGTCTCAAATTTGTACTTTTATGCTACCAGATTCGAATCTACAATCAGTGAAGCCTCCTGGCATACTGTAAACTGCCTAATGTTTGCGACGTATTAATGTTTGCTAATTTTGCGAGAAGAGCAGAACGCAAATATTAACCATTGCGAAATCAAACGTGGGTGTAGAAGTGTGGCCACAGTGCTCTGCGAACATTTGCCATCGTAAACTCGCTGGTTCTGAGAGATCGCAAAACTTTAGTGACGCAAACATTGGGCGGTTTACAGTACTTCAAAAGTAGTGTTAGGAGGGCAACATGCTCATTATAAAAAAATCACCATGCGAAACCTTTGTTGTACACGGTGTACTAAAACTTCTCTTTGGAGACTAATAACGTCTCTTCGGAACACGGTACGGTGCTCCGGGGTTTTGCACAGGAGAGATGAGTCTTTTCTGCTTCTTTTGAGACCAAATGGTGCACACCGGATAAACAAATGAGCAAGTTACAGCTTGTTAACGTGTTTGACGGATAGTCGTCGATTTTGACTGTTGGGATGAATAAGGTTTAAAGCATGCACTGTCTAACCCTAGCCTTGAATGCTCTTTTTCTAGTTGTAATATTCCAGCCTGGTACACACACACACACACACACACACACACACACACACACACACACACACACACATGCACGCAAGCATACACATACACACACACTCAGGAAGGTACGCACGCATGTGAAAACACACACACGTGCGCACATGCACGCCGTTTACATGAGAAAAATAAGCCCGGTTTTATTCAACCCTACAAGGCTTACGATAAGCCCGCCTTGAACTGCAACCCAGTCATTTTAGAGCGCGCGTTTACATGATGTGGCAGGCTTATTCAGCTCGCCCCGAGTTGAACTAGCCCTACCCTTGACCCCCGAGCTTATCCAACCCCCAGGGCTTATTTTCCCATGTAAACGGTCAAGAAAATAAGCCCTGGGGGTTGGATAAGCGAGTTTTTCCGTGTTTTCGAGTTTGCCTCTTGAACCTGAGAGGACTTCTCTGCGCCCAGTGTGCCTTCTCAGTTCACAAGCAGGTCACGCTAGGCTAGATCGAAGGTGGCGAACGGTCAGAGCCTAGGATCGCTGGAGAGCGAATTCCTTCTCTATTGCTTGTGGCCATCGACCTTCATGGCATTCTCAAGTTGGCTGACCCTTTTCCGTCTTTTATTGACAAGTGCAGTGCAGTTTCCTTTTCGGTTTTGACGTTCGTGAAGCTGCATGGAGTACGTTTGTTCATTTGCGTCGTAGTTGATTCTTGCATATTTGTTTGCCACGACCGAAGCCAATATGTCTCAAAGTTTCGGAGATGTTTCCCAGCCACCACCGGAGACTGCGAGTGTCCCAAGAAGAGGAAGAGCGGCACTCCAGTGCGTAGGTTTAGGTGGACATCGCGCATGGAAAATGATCTGGTAACGACAACACTAGATGTCAAGCTTGAGCAAGATGCAGAGTGTAAAGACATGGAGTCTGATCGGGTGACATGCTATAGTGAATTGAGGAAGAGAATGGCGAGTAAGTACGAAGAGTCAAGCATGTTCGGGCCTGTACATCTGACACAATCATGTTGATGAGGCAAAGACCCTAGACGATGATGAGTATACTCGGTTGTGTTCGAAGCGGGAGGAGGAAAGAAAGTCTGTTTCTTCGGCCTATGCCCGGATAAAAGAAAAGGCAATGTCTGATACATGATGTACTACAGTGGTTACTAGTACCAAGTGTAGACTCTACTGACTATCTGTGGTAAGTCATAGAGTCACGCATCCAATCTGGACGTATATTACGTATCGCCTAGGCGCAACTAAGAAGCCTAAATTAATATTCACGGACGCACGCACGCGCACGCACGTGCACACACACACACACACACACACACACACACACAGGTGCAAAGCTTGGACAACGGCAGGGTGGGCAGCCACGCCATACTCACGTTGCTGTCATGGGAATGACACCTTTCGAACCCACTCCGACCGGGATGTGATTGAAGAGTGTCTGCGAACACACAACACAGCGCAGAGCTGACGGCATGTATAAAAAGTACCAAGAGTCGTAATATTATGATATTGTATGATCCCCAAGGATGTGCAACTCCTGCATGCAGTGCTGTCCCAAGAGAAATTCAAGTTGACGTCATTCTAAGATTCAGTGCGCAGTGTGTGCATGTACGACATATCCTGGACAAGTGGTGAACAAATCCCCGGTTGAACCTGCACAAACTAGCGCCAGGAAACACGTGTGAGATGTGTGACACGTACACACACATGTCGTAAACCACTCGTGCGAGGAGTATTCCATCAAACAATGGTGTCAACTTGAAATGTCTGTGGGCACAGCAGTGTGCTCTTGTTAGTTTACATCACGACAAAACCACTAATCTGCTCATCCAAGAAGAAAGGTTAGAGGTTGGATCCTCCACACTCATTCGACACCCCGCTGCCTCAGAGAGTCCAAACAGGGCAACAAGCTAGACAGAGCCGGCCACCAAGCTGGACTTGTCATCATCGGCAACCTAATTTCAAATGTGGCCACGAACAATCCCGTGATAAACAGAGTCACTTGTGTTGCCATGCATCCACTCTCGCAAACACTCCTTAAAACTATTCCATACAACTCACGCAGAGGTACACTTGAAAAGAAAAAGAAAACACAGCAAAAAAAAAAGGGAATGCGACAGTGCGGATACAGTGGTGCAATACTGCATGGCAGTCACTCTGAGAGTAGACATGCCATTTCCACTGCCCTCACCAAGCATCACTCCAAAACCATCATCATCATCACCACCATCACCACCATTCAGCACGGCTAGCATCAGCACAACTGCCAACACCAACAACACACCATTCTCATGTCCAAAGTCGTACAAGCGCAAGCGCATACACTCAAGAATCTGCACGCCTGAGTGAAGCAAACGATTACACCTCGACCTCAGAGGCAACGGTAAACGGCATGCAAGCATAGCCAATCACCAAGCATCATCACGGGCCTGTGCGTGTGAGTTTGTGTGAGGGTGTGTGTGTGTGTGTGTGTGTGTGTGTGTGTGCGCGCGTGTGGCACATTCACACAAGACGTACCATGTCAGGTACTTAGGGGTCGTCGCAAAAGTTTTTTGTCGTCCCTGAAACGAACATGATTCATTTGGGGGGGAGGGGGTGCGAGCCAAAATCGCAAGTCGACCGACACTGTACATATGACATGTACATGCATGCGATTTTCGTCGTCCAGCATAGCAAGCTGTGTTCGTTTCAGAGGGAGGGGAGGGGGTCCGAGTACGAAAGGAACGATGTTCGTTTCAGGGACGACAGAAAACGTTTGCGACGACCCCCTAGGCAGGGCAGGATCCCCCCCCCCCCCCCCAAAGGAGGGCAGCAATGGGGTGCAACATGTGGATCACATGACACGCTACATTCTACTGTTACAGTGACTCTAGTTGAAGTACCAGTACATGTAGAGTAAAACCTGTCAAAGCCACCATTTGGATAAGGCAACCACATGTTTCAGACGACTACTGCAGCCAGGACCAAGGGATGCTATTTCCAGTCAAATGACCCTGGATAAGGAGACCACCTGGTAACAGAGACCGCACTTTGAAGGTCCCTTGAGCGGTCGTCTTAGACAGGTACATGTACGTCACAACAAAACATCTGAGCGTGTCCATTCGTGAACGGATACCTTCTCATCTTGAGAAGATTGTCCTGCTCTAGATAAGATTGTCCTGCTCTAGATAAGAGTGTCCTGCTCTAGATAACATTGTACACCTAGTACTTTCAAACAGATGCTAAGATGAAATGCAATAGAACAAATAATGCGCAGTCTATACTCGTACAGTCTGAAGGGCGGCGCAGGTCTCTTGAAGGAAGGTACTCCAAACCCAGGGGCAGGGGCAGGGGAACGCCACTGTATGCCACTACAGTACTGTCTGTCGACGAAGAACTGGGGGTCAGCCTCGACCATTCTTATTTTCATGTAAGGTCCTCCCTCATTATAACGAGTCCGGTTAGTACATAAACCCCGTTAGTAAATAGAAATCTGAAATCCCCTGGCGAAAAGTGGTCTATACAACTGTTTACAGGTCCGGTTACAACATAATCCGTTAGTACATAAAATTCGTTATAACGACCCTTTGCCCAGGTCCCTGGAGTGCCAAACCCTCAGTATAAGATAATACTGACCATGCAGGACCAATACAAGGCCAAAACACGTAGGATAAAGCAGAAAGACGAAACGTAGTAATTCTATCTATGTATACGCGAATATGGACAATCCTTTTCATACAAGGAAGAGTTATGTTGGAGATTTTCAATTATCTTATAACGAGTTGAAGCATCGATCATTTATGTTGTATCGAGGGTATCCCCGGTAAGTACGAAGTAGTGCCTATTTCACCTTTAGCTGTAAGTCCTGCTACAAGATAAGTCTCGTTATAAGATAACTTTTTCGATGGCCCAGAGATAATCTACTAACGAGGGAGGACCTGTACTTTAAAAAAAAATTATAGCCTATGCACAGTTGAGTCACCGCCTATACATTGGCATGCTGTGCTTGGTGAAATTCTAGCCTGGTCGTTCTTCGGCACCTGGCAGTCCCGTATAGCTAAGCAGCCCCCCTCCCCCCCCCCCCCCCCCCCCCCTTGTAAAGGCGAACGGCCGCGGCAGGCTGCTAGAACGGTGTCTACATGTACAGGTACTAAACTACTGATATACCTGTGCTAGTTGATCTTTGACGGGTGCCACGTCCTTCTCAGAGAGATTGGTGCGCAGCAAGCGCACACCGCAGTTAATATCAAAGCCGACGCCGCCTACGCAACACAAAGGGATAGGATAGATAGATAGATAGAGCTCAGATAGATATACAACTGCCAAAGCTGTTCAACGTATGTCTCAGTGCACGATTCAAAACTGAAAACAAGTTTTAAAATCCACTTTGCAGCATACATGCACGCGCAAAACACTGCAGCCGAGTTGAACAGCCGATACCCGGGCTTGAGGACGGTTGAATCACTTGATCCCTTCAATTTTGGAGGCTTTAGTCTTGTCCCCAAAACTCTAATTGTCGCCCCCTGTCGATTTTCTGCCTGTGAAGCGACTTTGGCGTATACAACGAGATATGGTATAGAACCGATGCATGCACTGCTGTACACAATACGTGCCAGTGCAGGATGAAAACGTGCACAATCCAGCACATCCCTCATCATCGAGTCTGAACTTCCACGTTGTTGTACATCGTACTGCACTTGACAGCCTTGATCTAATTCCCACCCGCGCGGATCAACGCTACTTTACGCTACTGTAGAATGGAACACATGAACAGCACAACACAAATCAGGACATACCGGGTGACACCACAGCTTCTGGATTTGACATGTCGAAAGCCGCCATGTTACCTGCAGATCGTAAAGAACATACCAGCAGAGGAAGTGGACAGTTTTTGGGGCGACAAACACACGACAACGCTGAGTTTTGATCGAATTCTCCAACATCGAATGGGGTTCAACAACTTGAATACCATGGGAATTTAGTTCAATTTACGCATAACGTCGCAGTTTGCTTGCGAAATCATCAACTTTTCCAGATCCAATGGCGGACACCGCCAGCTATTACTCTGAAGGCCGCAACTCTCGATGCTCTGCGGTATTCATGCACTGTCTGTTACAATCACGATGCACTCTACAGTCCATTCATCGGAAACTGGCCCGCTGGCTTTTGAAAGTCGGATTTGGGCCGAATTGAGGATCAAAAACCCACTTTAAATCTCAAAAATCTGGGTTTTGGATCTGCTTCTCCATACATTTTGCCATGGCATACCTGTCCTAATTTTGTAAAACCTGGCTGAATTTCTATTTCCTTGTTCTTGGACTTTTCTGACCTCAAATGTGGCAAGGAGTAATTGCACGGGTCACTCAATGCAGGATGTACTGTTGTTTTCACGATATCTAAAACTATGTGACAGAGACACCAAAAAGTTAGGGTGCCAGTTTCCAATGAATGGACTGTAGCCATGATGTAGGCTAGGTATCAATGCCCTGTGCTATCCACGCACTGTCTCGTTGCAGCCCTAGGCTGGAGTTAACCTCGGCGAAACCCAGCACACTTACCAATGGCGAAACCATAGCCGGAGTGCACGTCTGGCAGGCCAATGGACCTCTGCATGGCAGTCGCACGCACACGCACACACACACACGCACCCACACATGCACACACACACACACACACACACACACACACACACACACACACACACATGAGTGCATGCACACAGGAAACACACCAGGCTAAAGCAGGACATACTAAATTCAAATGGTGTACTGGAAGAATTAGCACTATAGGGAGTGTACCCGTGCATAGGGCATGTCAAAAGTTGACCGGCGGCATTTACACAAGTATAATTATTATAGTACTTCTGAAGTAATATTAGGTCACACAAAAACATTTCTCACACAATCTCTATTGCACACCAACGCATCCGCAAATGTCTATTTAGCATTTACTCACCCCACAACACCAGGAAGAGATGCAACATTTGCTATTTACTTACCCCAACAATACCAGGAAGAGATGCAACATTTGCTATTTGCTTCACGCCAGGCAGAAAGCCACCAATACCTGATAAAAATGAAAAATAAACACAACAGGAATACAGGACGGGACACTTGAGCGATGTGGCGACAATAATCGAAGTCAAGTAATGAGAAGGCGCATTTGCACACTCATTACACAACCAAGATCGAGCCGCGTACGTCACGTTAGTTTGTTTATTTACGGATTCTCCAGAGGTAAATGGATACCTATCACGGGAGTCTCACCAAACCAATAGAATAATGAAAATAAAATTATGTGTGGAGTGCAGAAAACTCAAAATCTGAGATTTTCTAATTCAAAGGAGAGGAAGAACAATAGATTGAGAACCAGGGGTGCTAATAGAACACTGGAAAGGCACTAAAACAAAGTAGTGTACAGCACATGTATGTGAAGCTTCACTCACGCAGACGTCTACCACTAGCAGTGTGTAGAGACTGGTTACTGGTATTCAAATACATCATCAGTTGAGAAGCTCCGGAAAAGTCGTGGCACGGCGATGCACTAGCTCAAACGAAACCATGGGAACCGTCGACTCACGCTGTCTACATAGCGCCCCATAAGCGGTTCTGCTGACTCACCGCCATGACATCATTCGCATAACCTGCATTGGGCGTTTTGTGAAGCATTTTCTGTGTTGCGCACGTGTTGCTAAGCAAAATGCAACGACTGCAGAAACGAATAGCACCACGCACAGAAGTGTGATGTGCCGACATGGGCACGCAGATGCGGACGTTCACGTTCACGTCGACATCTGATGCAGATTTACGTTAGAGCCAGACAGTTGTTGGCTACACTGGAGGTGCAGTGCTCAACTCCATAACTAATCATGTAATCATGCAGTATACTAATTACTGGTGTGTATCTAACCTCTGCTCTGACAACTGTGTCTCAGCTCCTCCATCATCAGATTCTCCAGATGGCTGTTGACGTAAAATATACCCTCAACCTGCAGAAGCCAGTAATACAATACCCACTGTTCGCCATGCCCACATGCATCGAATCCAGACGACTACACGCCGTGCGTTTACCTGCATATTCGGTACGAAGCCCTTCTTGATGCGAAAGGAGTGAGGGGAAAGCCTTTCAATAAATTGAAGCTCATCCTTGTATTGCCGGACCGGCAGCGTTGGAGCGGCAGACTGCATGTCGACTAAGAAAATTACGCAAAGCACTCGGCGGATTGAAGAAGGGAAATCTGTCTGTCTACAGTCAGACAAAGACAGCTGCGATGAAAACAAAGTGCCTTGGACGGCTTGCTACATTTATCTTCTGTCGACTGTCTCGCAACAAACTACTTAGGGACCATCGCAAAAGTTCGCAGAAGCCCCCGAAACGAAGACCGTGAGTTTCGGGCCTGACCCCCCTCCCTCCCCCCTCAAACGAAACGACAGTCACAATATGGGCTTCATTTTTTCACTTGGATGCTCACACATAATAATTATTATAATACTACACAAGCATTGTTGTATCAGTGTGTAACAATGTACAGCACTTTATAAATGCAACGATGATATCACCTTGCAGTGGGTGATCTAAGTCTAAGAACGAGAACAGCTAGAGCTATGCAGTTGTATCCTTTGAGCATTACAATGAACGTTGATTGGTGCTTTCACATTCCCCATACGCGTCCTGACAAGCGATCTACGACGGCTGTGATGGCATGCTAATCAGCTCCTATAATTATGTCGTCAATACTTTTTTGAATTGAAGCCCGGTTTGCGATTTTCGCACCGACTCCCTCCCCCCCAAACGTATGCTCTTCGTTTCAGGGGCTTCTGCGAACTTTTGCGATGGTCCCTTACTTGGCCACTTTTTGGTCAGTGTCACATTTTGGTTTGTGCTCACTTTTGTACAATTATTATTTTTCGAAACTTTTGAAAACTGTGATACGCGTGTACATATGTACCGATACGATCAGTACGACGTCATTGCACTTCTTTTCGCAATGTCGATGATTCATCCACACTGTCCAAGAAAATATTTTCTTCAGGGAGTCGTAAAATAAAGACTTTTACGAGTACATGACTGAAGACATCCAAGAAGAAGGCCTGACCTAAAGCCTGATATCAAGGGGGGGGGGGGGGGGGGTTATGTACTCTTGCTGATATGATGAGTCCAGCGGGGACGTGGCGCGGTGGTCAGGGTGGTGGTGGTGAGAAGGAGAGCTCTGTGCTAGAACTTTGCAGCTTAGAGAGCGTGTGTGGGCACTGGGCAGGCGTGTGTTTACCGCCATATTGCCAGGTGTGTCTTCAAGTACCGCCATATTTATCAACTATTTTACGACTCCCTGATTTTCTTCATCCATGATCCAAGAAAGCAGGGAGACTGCAAACCCGGGTTTTCACGACTCCCGGGGTGCCTAACCCGAGGACCTCCTACAGCTAGCTACAGGGACGCTTGCTGCACTGCAGGCACGGAGTATGACTGTACATGTAGTGAAATACTGTACCGTGGTCACATGATTTTCAACTGCCTGCCTCCCCAGTCTCCTCCTCCCCAGTCTCCCTCTCTCTGAGTCTCCCCCTCTCTTTCTACCCAGTCCCTCCCTCTCTCGCTGCACCCCTGAGGCTCTCCCTCTCCCCGGTCTCTGTCTCTCTCCGTCTCCTTCTCTCTCCCTCTCCGTTTCCCTCTCCCTCTCTTCTCCCTGTCCTTCTCCCTCTCCTTTCCGGCCTCTTACTCTCCCTCTCCGGCCTCTCCCTCCAGAGACAGAAACCTTGGTCATCTTCTTTCTTGTCTTAGGCTCCTACTCCTAGGATGGGAACCACGACACAGTTACGGTGGAGATATTTCCATATCGGTGAAATCGCCAGGCATACAGTGCTTGAAGTACAGTTCTGAATGTTGGACAGATCTTGCTCTACATGTACTTAGCTAGGAGTACAGTAGGTGTCTACTCTGCTCCAAGAGCCTAACTAGCATGAGATGAAAGCACCTACAGACTGTCAGTGCAACACGATGGCCTAGCACATCATTCTACTCAAGTCTGTCTTGGTCAGGGAGTACTAGTAGTAGTACAGTACCTACTCCCTGGTCTAGGAAGTGCTACTGAAGCCAGTGAAGGCGGCTCGCGGAGCTGCGGATACTGAGGCAGAGGGAGCCAGTTTTCCATGGCTTCCTGTACATGTACTAGGATACAATGCACATCCTGTCATCCATAGACAAGGAGAGCCGGGGAGAGAGGATACTAGCGTCACATCTTCCTTATGCTATAGTTATGGCAGTTTTCATGGTTATGCCCAAGCCATGACAGGATGTACCCTGCAGCCATTGCCAAATCCAGGAAGCTACGAAAACCTGGCTCCCTCTGCCTCTGCCCGCAGCGCTCGCAGCTAGCGCAGTAGCCTGTGCCAAGACAAACGCCATGTCATGGCTGTCTGTACTCGTATTGACTTTGTACTATGTACTCTCTCGTCTGTAGCAATAACTTGTATTTACTCCTGACTCTTGGTACTATCATGTCCCGATACAGACTGTGGTGCTAAACAACTACTGTCTGATGATCGCACCCACGAAACTCAGAGTTGCAACCGAGAAGCGCTTTGTCTCCTTCATGGAAACGGTAGAATTAGTTGCGGGAGCCGGAAATCGCCAACACATCATCACTATGTCTTTGCATATTATGCAAAGACACAGTGCACCGGGATCCCACCAACACTGAGCGGGGAGAGAAAGAGCTTGCATGGGAAGAGCGAATGGGAGACTGGGAGTGGGAAAATGGGGAGAGGGAGAAGGACAGAAACTGGGCGAGAGGGAAAGGGAAAGAGTCTGGGCGAGAGGGAGGGGAGACCATGCAGTTAAAAACGCACACTTCAAGGTCGAACAGCTACATAATTGTTGCTGTTCGGAGATGGAGCAAACGTTTGGGTGTACAGCGAATTCAAGCTAGCTTTCACCGATATCGAACTACTGTACAAGTACCTCGCATCTTCCTTCCCATCGAACGAATACATTTAGGTCGAGAAAGGAGACGGCCCAGCTAGGTCTCTGTCTTCAAAGAAGCCGATGCTAGCTATGTAGAGTGATATCACATTATGACCCGCCGATGTGCCTGATCCTCAGCCTGTATTGTCACGAATGAGAACATTTTGGTCAAGTCTTATGCTGCATGCGAGGTCCTGCGGACTGAGCTGGGGGCAAGTCATACTCATAGCGTCCCAGAAGTCCAGGAAGACTGATCATAATTTCCTTCATATTAAAAGTCATGAATTTCTACAGAAAGGAGAGAACATTAGGGGACAAAACAAGATGCACGGGACCAGTAGAAAGTGTCTCTACGAGAGAGAGAGAGAGAGAGAGAGAGAGAGAGAGAGAGAGAGAGAGAGAGAGAGAGAGAGAGAGAGAGAGAGAGAGAGAGAGAGAGAGAGAGAGAGAGAGAGAGAGAGAGAGAGAGAGAGAGAGAGAGAGAGAGAGAGAGAGAGAGAGAGAGAGAGAGAGAGAGAGAGAGAGAGAGAGAGAGAGAGAGAGAGAGAGAGAGAGAGGGAGGAGAGGAGGGAGAGGAGGGAGGGAGGGGAGGGAGAGAGGGAGAGAGAGAGAGAGAGAGAGGAGAAGAGAGAGAGAGAAGAGAGAGAGAGAGAGAGAAGAGAGAGAGAGAGTGAGAGAGAGAGAGAGAGAGAGAGAGAGAGAGAGAGAGAGAGAGAGGAGAGAGAGAGAGAGAGAGAGAGAGAGAGAGAGAGGGGAAGAAGGGAGGGAGAGAGAGAGAGGGAGGGAGGGAGGGAGGGAGGGAGGGAGAGAGAGAGAGAGAGAGAAGAGAGAGAGAGAAAGAAAGAGAGAGAGAGAGAGAGCACCGTCCCCTGTTACTGGTGGTATAACATCACTTACTCACTGCTGTCTGTTGTTTATCGCGCTTTGGAAATGTCTTCTAAAACCAAAATGCTATGACAACATGCCAGAAGAAGTGACTGAATGATCTGTGTAGAATTCCACTTGTATCGGTCGGATCAGGCAACTCAGATTCAACGACGCTACGTAGAAGTATTAGTTAGGTAACCTCAGTCTTGGACTTGCTGAAGTACAAGTTTAAGTTACATGACTTGTATTTGTTGTACAATTATGTACTGTCTTGGACACTTGGGTGTTGTCATTTGTACAGGTAAAGATACATGTCATGTAGTCTTTCGTAGACCCGCGGAGCTACGGTCCGGAGGCACCCCCGTAGGCTCCATGGTGTCATGTCTCGACAACAGGCAGAGGGAGAGGGTACGAATACAATGACAACAATGACAATATGCACTTGCAGATACAGTAGATTACTAGTACTTCAAGTAGTAGTATCCCTACATCCCCTATGACTATGTGTTGTCCCTTTCCTCGTTTGTTCTCCACCTGTTTTCCAGTAGGGCTGTGTCAATAGTAAAAAAAAAAAAAAAAAAAATAGACAGATTGGGAGGTATATATACTAGACTAGTAGAAGGTTCTCTTTTTCGGCCACACGACGCTTGCACGCACCAGCAGCACGAACAGTTCACCAACAACACTCCACAGCAGCAAGTAGTTACTGCTGGCATGCTTGTTTCGTTCCATAAGATAATGCCGGGGAACTCTGCAGAGGAGAGCAGATGTCGAATGAAAGGGTTGGATAAGAGAATACTATTGTTCTACACAATACAAGGTGTATTATACACTCAACCAATACACATAGTGATACTGTGTGTGACAAACCAACACAAACGGAATTGTGTAGAAAGGAGGTGTTTTGAACCCTGCCAGACACAACTAACTAACAGACGTGCTAACTACATTAGTCACAAAGAGAAAGAGAAGTACATGTACTTATATAAAAGAGACTAGGAGGTCCAAAATTTTTGCAATATGCACCCAACGGTGCAATAATGACTGTGTATTTGAGAGCTTATGTATCAGGGAAATCAGTGGAAAGGCGATTAGATAGTTTTGTATTCTATTCGTAGTACATCTCGGGTTAAATAATAATACCGGTTCTTGCTGCAAAGACAGTTTAAAAGTCAGTTTTTTCTTGTACCACCACTGCAAAGGCACCTGAGGCATTGATCATGTGTATGATTGTGTATATCACGTACAGCCCATGCACTGGTACCTGGGTACTGTGGTAGATCTACCACCACTACACAGTCTACAGTATTACCAGTCGACAGAGAAAGATCAAATCATCAATCTGACAATCATCAAGAACGATGAGTCGATGACCATGGCATGGCATGACTTGTATGTGACGACAAAGTCATGGCCATGACACATGTAATGGGTCTGCTCGGAGTGCTCGGTGCATCGGTGTGATCGTGAGCGCCTGCACGGATGCAGAGCTCGCGCGATCCGTCTGATCTGCTGTCAGTGCTGACTGCTGTGCAAGGGACTGTAGATCTACTGAGTCTGTATCAGTGTATGTATGTGGTCGCCGTCATATCACTTACCGGTACGTCTACCATGGTCTACTGGCAGTACTGCATCCACTGCAGACTACGAGTACGAGCAAGAGCAAGACTGTTAGTGTTATGTAGAATATGACTGTACTCCAGTGTCCACACGTAATCGTTGAAGCGGATATTTTGCAAATCGTAATCTCGGAGAAGCGAAAGTAGGCCTACATAAACGCAGTCATTACGAATACGATAGACGGAAAGAAGGCAGCGCTCGTGTGGCGCTCGCAGTGTGGAATCGCTGACTTGCTCGGGAGAGCTAGAGGGAGACAGATGGCTATGGTTGTGTCAGGGATACTGTGAAGCTCGCTGTTGGGCTTTTCGTCATCAACACCATTAGCACCATTAGATCTGTATTAGTATTCGTTGTGTCTTGAGCTAGCAAAAATGCCTTTCGGTTTTGGAAAGTCCAAAAAGTACGATGAGCGTCTGGCGAAGCGTTATGATCTGAAAGAGGTGCTGGGAACGTAAGTTACCTGGCGAGTATTTATCTTCCTGCTTCTGAGCAGCTGCTGCTACCGTTGCCCTGCCACAAGCTGCGTACCAACTGAAGGGGTGCTCGGTGTTTGTGTTTCTATTGTTGTAGCGGAGCGTTTTCCGAGGTTGTCCGTGGTAAGGACAGAGAGACTGGAGTTAATTATGCCATCAAGTGTGTGGATAGGAAAGCTTTGAAAGGCAAGGAGGGAGCGCTGGAGAACGAAGTAAATGTGCTGAAAAAGTAAGTGAGTCGTGTGTGCCGCCACGCGATGCAGCAGGGTCCGTGCGGGGGTCGTCGAGATCCGAATGACAATGCAATGAACGCAGCTGTGAATGTTGGTGTATCACTCTGGAGTTTTGGCGTATACGATACGTATCCCTGGTGTCTATCTAGCCGGCAGGCGCGGCAGGTGCAGTCCTTGTTCATTGGATATTGATCTGTCCTTTGTGTGTAGCTGTATCAACTTGGTGATTTTATTTGTGGATGTGATACTAGCAATTCTTGCTCGGGAAATTGTAGTTTGTCCGTTCAAGTGTGATCGATATCTGAATCTGATGTGTTTCTCCTTGCTGTGATTACGTTTCCTCGTGTGTAGAGTGGAGCATCCGAACATCATCAAACTGATCGAGTTGTACGAGTCCAAAAATCATGTCTACCTCGTCATGGAAATGTGAGTGCAAATCGTGTCGTTTCGTTCGGTTTGGCACTGTGTGTGATTGTCAGTTTGATTGTGGAGATTTCAGCTAGGCAGACTGCCCGTGGTGGACGTATTACGGATTTGGCCCCTCTCGCCTTCCAGAAATAGCGAACATAGTCGCAATGCTCCGTGTGGTGCTACCGATCACTTCATTTGTGGTGTAAGAAGTTCTGTTTAGGCTTCCGGTGGATAGATATCATCTCTACGAGAGACTACTAAGACACTAGGTTGCGTCCTGACCTGGATTCTTTTACTTACGCCCGGTGCAGACTGTTGATGGACTTGGCCCCGGGCGCAAGGCGTGTACAATGGTGTACGTGTGTCCGAATCCAGCACGGAACCTGTTGACTGTTACAATAACATCATTGCTTTGTCGTTGTGTGCTGATACTGCGACCATGTGTTCCCATGTGTGTGTTACGGTCTGTTGTACGTGTCGTTGTGGCGATAATTTATGTGAGGCACTTTGGTCTTTTGTCTGGGAGTATGAAATCGTGCGGTACATAGACCTGCCATGTACTACAATCATGTAGAGAGTGGAATGTTCTACGTGTTGTAGGTCTACTTCTGCTACAATCCGTACAGAACTACAAAGTCGCTGAATCCATCCAATAAAAAAAAAAAAGCATCCTGCTGAAGTCAGGTGATGAAGGGAACTGCAGGGCGCCTCACTACCGGTGTTGTTGACATTGACACACATCACAGTCAGTGTTATGCTGGCCGCACTGTACTGTACTGTACTGTACAGACAGACAGACAGTGGCAGAGCAGCTGAGAGCTCAAAGTCAAAGCTAGCTGATAGAACACGGAATGAATACTGTAGTACTGTCTGACGATGTAACTGTTGGACATGAACTGAGCTACTCTGCTCAGCAACAAGACGTGATTATCCGGGTCATTTCATTTTGTGCTGCTGTCCCCTCTCATTCAAGGAAGTACAGAAATGTGTAGCTTTTCCCTGTTCTAAGTATTTAGTTGGAGAAAAATGCAGTGTTTACACTTATCTGTTGCCTGTTGCCTGTTGCCGAATGACCTGTGCCAGGGCGTATTGCCTGTCCTTAGTGGCAGCCCTCTGAGTACCATGATCAAAGACGTCGTTAAGTGCAACTGAGAATTCATACATTCTTATTCATTGCAGACTCAAGAGTGATGTGCTTTGACTGTGCATGTGCCATGTACACTATACTTAGTCTTTGTAGCCCTGTTGAATGAAGACAAAACCTACATGTACTTACTTGTTCATCATTGTCTTCACAATGCCCCCCCCCCCCCCTCTCCTACATGGGAATGGCCATAATTTTCATGAAGCAAATACTTCTTTTTATCAGTGCAATGCCTCTCTTAACCCTTTATGGACGGATTACTAGCACAGTATCCACCAGAATTACAAAATGTCAGTACAATTTTCAACTTTTCCATGTCATAACTTTGGTGTCCT